CTGCCAGACACCCCAATGGGACAGGCAGTGCTGTGTGCTGCTGTGACTGAGAGTGCAATGTGACGTTCACAGAATCCGAAATGCACAGATTGAATAATCAGATGCTGAGGACACTAATGTTAGGAAATGTACACGGTGAATGCAGCTCTGGAATGGCAGTGTGTCTGATTCGGTCACAGCCAGGCTGAAGCAGGACAAGAAGTGCTGCCTCTTCTCCATTCAGAGAAACACTGCCTGTGGGTATGGTTGGTGTGCTCGTGCAGCTGCTGTCATCAGCACAAAACTGACCAATGGACTGGGGAGGGGGAAAAAAGTAAAGGTTTTCCACATGTGGCAAATAAAACACAAAATCACAAGGCGATGTGGCTGAAAGAAAGATGGAGCATTGCAGATCCTTCACTGGAGATGCAGGGAGATTCAGAACTCTGAAGCAGCCAGGTGCAGGCCGTGCTCGGTGTGGGAAACACTGATTTACAAAACCCTGCTCAGTAACAGATCCACAACTGATTACCTTTTCTGCCTCACATACCCTTGCAAAAAAGGCAGCGTGCCTGTATGCCTTGCAGAAGAGCCCTATGCAGCACCAAACCTGGAGAGTGAGAATGCACTGTGCATCCACCCCGCAGGAATAGCTGTGGGCATACTGGCACCCTAAAAATAGCCGAGGTGTGGGTGCTGTGCTGACAGCTTTGTAGGGTTTGTGAGTAATGCTGGGGCTGCTAGGGAACTGCAAACAAACTGACCGGGCTCCAGCAGATGCCACAGGGGGCTGTAGGATGACGATAAGGTAACCCTACTCTCTTAATAAGACAAATCTAATTTCTCTGCCACAAACAGGGACAGAGACTTCCTTTACAATGAGGCAGATCTGTCCCACTGTTAAAATCAATGGGCTAACATTCCCTTTTACAGAGGGATTTGCATGCTCTGATTTAGGTCAAGAGGAGGAATACTGCTCAGAGGCAGGTAGAACTAAAAATCAGCGACACAGAAAGTTGGGGCAGTCCTGAGACAAAAGCTCTGTTCTGTGCAGCATGAGGAGAAGTGCAAGCCTTTGAAATCAGATAGCAGTCAACGTCTGCCCAGGTTCACAAAAGCAGCCCAGAACGACGCCAAATGCAAATTTACCCTCTATCTGACTCCTGGATTTGGGCAGCTCCCTCTATAACTAAGGACTGCGAAAGCACACATGAATGCATCAATTACATCCACAGCTAACACTTGCCTCAGAACCTTCAAAAAACAACCCTCCAATAATTAAAGCAAAACCACCCTCCACCACCACAACCCCCTCATCTTTGAGGGAAAGCTGCTATTTCAGGACACCTTCACAGCCCAACTTTTGCTTTGGCTGAGATTTGCAATTCGATCAGTGCTGCAATAGCGGATGAACTTCAAGGTAACTGGTGAGCTCCTACATCGACTGCATCTCCCTGCCACAGGGAACACTCCCTGCCCTGGACTGGTGCTGTGTTTGCAATGAGACATTCCTGCTTGATGCAACAGTCAGTGTCAGGGCTCACAGAGCTCCATCTCACAGGCATTACATAAAACAGTCATTACATCCCAGGGACAATGGCAAATTCACAGTTCAATAAGTAAAATGTCTGCAAAGGAGATACCTCTAACAAGCATCTAGAGCAGCTCAGCAGCGCACAGACCGACGCACTGACACTACCTGCCACTCAGGTGTGTTAAGCTCTGCTAATCTTACATGGGGGAAGAAAAGACAACCTGTGATGTTCAGATTTCTGTGCACTGGTTACTCTTAGTACCTACAAGCTGAAGCCGTGGATGGGGAAACATCAATTGCAACTCTCAAAATGAAAGACACCTATTAATGCCCTTCTGCAGCCTGGCCCAGGATGGTGCTCTACCTCCATCCTGCAGCCCAGCAGATGAAGGGCTGCCCCAGGCACTGCTCCAGCAGCACTCCTGCACAGTGCCATGTTCTGCAGCCACACCATTTCCCCACTCAGTGCCAAACTGTCTTACTTCTGTGTTCTGAAATGTGCCCTTGCTTTGTATCATTGTGGCAACCATCTTATTTTTACTTACTTTCTTATTTTCTGAGGAAGTCTCTGACATGCTCACCTAAATTTAAGGCAGCGATACAAAAGCAGGCAGAGGAAACCAGAAAGACAACGTCTGGGAAAACACCCTGGTGACACGCAGAGCTGGTGCCATATAAATCATGACAGAGAGAGAAGAAACACACTCTAGCAGCTTATTTTTCCAATGTGAGCACATGGTAGGTAACATTCTAAGGCTCAGGTAATTGACAGCAATATCCACACAGTGCTGTTATCTGTTCCTTCTACAAGAGATGCCATCTTTGTAATTCCACGTGCTTGGGGTGACATCTGTTCTCATTTCTATTACTTTGATGGGTGATGGAGAAATCCATACGAGCAGATCCATAAAGCAACAACTTGCTGAGCTAAGTACAGCAATAGAAACATTTCTAGAGGAGAGCGACGTGCCAAGGCAAACAAGTTCTGCCATCGTTTCAGCACCACTAAAGGTCAGTTGGGATATAATTACGTCTAATTAGAATTCTCATGAATTGCGTCGTCTTTTCACTTGAAGGCTCTTACAGCTTAACAAAGTATGAATTTTATTTCCTGTTTTCTAAGAATCAAAGAAAGGAGGCATTCTGACCTTGGATTCAGATGTGAATCATCCTAAAAGAAAAGAAGCACGTCATTGTTAGAAGGAAAAGGAAGAGCTCTGTGCAACCACCAACACCCAGCTCTTCCCTCCTGCTTTGCTGTTCCTTTCTTCCTGTTCAGTATCGTTGTTTTTTTTTTTAAAGCATTATTCCTCATTTTTTTTCTCCTTCTCATAGTTACATAACCCTTCTGTCTCCCTTTTTGCTTCAGCACCCTATTTCAGTCCTCTCTTCAGAGCTGCCCTTCTGCTGTTCTTCCACGTAAGATGTTGGTATTTCTCCCTGACGTTACTGCTAGAAACGGAAATCCAGTTTTCTGCTGAAGAATTCCTCTTCATTTCATCCCACAGACTGGAAAAGAAGGCTCTGCTGTCCGAGAGAAGCACTACCTCTTAAAAATGTATGACCTACAAAACAAGCAGAATTTTCCCTTGCATGTCAAAAGTCTGCGTGTAACAGAACTCTTTCAGTGAATGATTTCTAACGTTCTCCTTTGAAAGTTATCAAACTTAAAACAAATTCCTGTCGAAGCTGAAGCCTCAGTTGTGCTCTCGTGCTGTGAATAGTCAGTCTCTTCATTAATAAAAATGACTGCTTTAATTATTAGAAGGTACTTCAAGTTCCACCTGTAATGCAGGAGATTCACTTGTCATCAGGGAATTAAGAGGCCACCTCACTTAGCACTATTTAATGTCAGGTTTTCTGCTGTAGGTGGGGCAAATCATAAATCCACAGCGCCCTTTTGTTTACCTCCCACTGCACTGTGCTCCTGCATCTGTAGGATGACCTTATCCTTCCATGTGTCATTCACACCTGTAGCCCCACAAAAACACACAGACTGAAATCCCTGACCCACTGAAGTCGTCAGGGCTTTTACAGTGGGCTCCCAAGGACACGAGGAGGTCACAGCACATATGGGGCAAAACGCACCCCGTGGTTACATTCATTTGGCAGTTCAGCATCTTACTGCTATCCCTGATAAGTGTACAAAATTCAAACCATCTGTTGCTGACATAACCCCAGACAACGTGCTGCCATACCCAGAGCTGTGGGGCTCTGCTATTACAAGACCATGCTGTGTAGCCAGCATACTGCTTCAAGGTCATTTGGTGCAGGTTAAACTCTGCAGTCAAATTAGTTCAAATATAGTTTCACTCTCATCTAACAAGGCACAAATCCATACAGATAGAAGCAGAATATCAACCAAAACCCCACAGCTTGTTCCTTTGCTTTCCAAACCTGAAAACCATTATGTCTAGATCCGCCACTTACTTGCACACATACCAGAGTACAGTTGGAGCAGATGGTTCAAAGATAACTTTCAATCCATCTGCAGTTCAAAACAGTGGTGAACCATTCCAGCTGTTTTCCAGATCAAAAATATTATTGTCATTGTGCTATCGCTGCGTGCTGAGGGTTATGTAACAAAAATGCACATGTCCCTCTGCCTGGAATGCAATTAATTTCCTCCCTCCCCACTGAGAGTGGTAAGTAACAACTCAGACAGTCTGCATGCTTCAGTTTTAAGCATGGCCAGAGATGCAGCGATGGAATTATTCCCCGTGGTAACCCACTGCTGGTAACACGCCAGCCCTCTGCAGGTCTTAGAGACAGGGTCTATTCTGTTCAGGGAAAAAACAAATATGACTTTCCTGCTTATACATGACCTCTTACTGTCTGCAGCGTACCATGAATGCCTTGTTTCAGCTATTTTAAACATAGATGTTTCTTTATGTTGGAATTCAAAGTATTCGAAATCAGCGTGCTAGCTAAAGTAATTGCTTCCGATCCGAAATAGGCCACTGGACTCCCTGGATACTTTGGTATGCAGAAGTGAGGCACTGTACACTATTCACTTTAACATGGTGGCATAATCGTGTCTTAATGTACAAATATCCAAATGTCATGCATTAGGTTAAGTGAGGAGTCCATAATGCAATTTGCTTACATATAGAGAACACCCAAAACTCCTTTGCTTAAAACAGTGCACTTAAAACAAGTTTCCTCAGTGCAATATTTTCTGTAATACGCCCTTCATCTCTGTGAGTGCAGCTAATCCAGAGATATTTACATCTGAACTATACGACGTTCAGGAGAGGAACTGTCTGTCTATAAAACATTTGTGCCGTGCTCAACATCCTTCAGTTGTTACTGTGCCATACATAAAACAAGGTGAAAGGGTCTCAACTGAAATGAAGCTTTAGCTTATTACTTCACTGCAGCAGTTTCCTTTAATGCCTTATTTCTTGGGTCAGCTTGCTCAGGATTGCTGGCTTGGTTTACAGCTTGCTTCTGCACAGAGCACCTGCAGTGCTGCTAGCGGCCTTACCTGGTTAAATAGGCCAGAGCCAGTTCAGATCCTGACAGCTTCTTGGGTTCTGCTTTCTTAGTAGAGATTCCAGCTTCCCTCATCAGCTTTTTTTCTTCTTTCTTGCGCTCCTTTTTCAATTTTCTTTCCAATTTCCTCCTTTCCTCTGGAGTAAGATCTTCCTCTTCATCTGCTGCCTGAAACAATAAACATTTAAATAAAGTGATCCTGTTTCTATAGGAAGGTGAACAAGACATTCACAAATGCAACTGAAGGGCACAGTTAATATTTTAACCCAGCAGCTTCAAGCTTCATACTTTTACCATACACCAAACTAGGAAGCTTCCACACTGTTCAGCTCACATAACTGTAAATGCTGCAGTCTGCAGAAGTCAGCAGAGGCCTTTTCTGTCCTCTGTAGATGAGAGCACTGAGCTCAGCAGTACAGCAATCAGAGCAAGTACTTCCTCTGCTCGGTATTAAACATCATTTCCAAGATTTGTTGTGCTGCTCGTGCTCTCATAGCAAGGGATATGAGCAGCAGAGGCTGTTCACAGCGGAGGGAGGGTATGGAATTTTTTAGCACATACACACGTATATGGGAACAGTGCTCCCTTAAGACTGGGACTGGAAGATCACACTGTCCTGGACTGAGAAAACTTCTCTCTTCCAACCATGGGCCTGAGTTCCCTTTTGCCAGAAGGGAAGATGTGACATCTACCATCTTCCTACAGCTCTAGGAGATCCTTTGGCAATCCTGAGTAAACATGCACAATCCTGCATAAACAGATCTACAGATATAAACCTCAAAGGTTGGAACTTCTACACACTTTCAGACAAAACAGTTCTTAATTCATCTTGAAAACCCAATCACTAAAAATTTACGCAGAACTATACTGAAAACAAAAACATTTGTTTCACGTGCAGCAGAGGAGCATTCAGCAAATACACTGAGTTGATCAGGGTAAGATCACGCAGTGTAGAAACAAAGAGCTGCTCCACAACAAGCCGAGGCATACCCCAGTGATTCCCAGCACTGCTCATTCATCTTTCCAGGCAGCAGTCCCTCTGACTTGTTAAGTACCAACTGGAAGCATGAAAAATTCCAGCTGAATCGCTGTTACTCAACGTTCCCCCGTGATTTCCACATCTCAGTACATTTTGTTTTCCTGTCTGAACACTCTGCAGTCCAAAACCAGCAGCGTCTGTGCTTCCTCTCCTCAGTGATGCTCCAGGATAAATGTCAGATCCACCGGGCCTTCAGATCTATCAGGTGTTCTGAGATCTAGCCTTTGCAGGGCTCTGTGGCTATCTTAGACAGACCTCCATGACAATGCAGAGAAAGCATCTCAGGAAGCAGTGAGGAATTGGACACAGCCAAACCACCTCTGCTGTGCAACTTCTCAGAAACAACTGAGCAACAACGACAACAACAAAACCATCAAGTTTTGCAAATGAGACCCTTACTCTCAGTTTGAACGTTTCCAAGATGAAGAGCAAAGGGATGGTGCTAATTCCTAGCTTACATGATCATCGTAGAATCATAGAATGGCCTGGGTTAAAAAGGACCTCAAAGATCACCTACTTTCAACCCCCCTACTATGTGCAGGGTCACCAACCATCAGACCAGGCTGCCCAGAGCCACATCCAGCTTGATAGTTACAGGGCTCACACAGTCCCAAACAGAAGTGTGATGCCTTTGCTGTAGTTTAAGGACCAAGCGCTTCCCAGGCATGAGCACCAAGCACTCCCCAGCTGCTAAGCAGTGTTACTGCTGCTGACCTGCAAAGCAAAGGCCAAGTAAACAGGGCAGCACCCGAATGCAGTCTGATCTGGCAAAGGCACCTGCCGAGCACCACACGTTGGTTCAGTGTCAATTCCTGCATCAGCTAAGCCTACTTTGACCCACCCTCTCAACTCTGTGTTTTCAAAGACCAAATAAGGATGCGAAAGTGGAGGTCAGAATAAATGGCAGTAAAGAGGATTTGCTTTTTTGTTTGGTTTAAAATGCTTTTAATTTCTTGTTATGGAAAGCCAGCATTCACCTCCCAAAAAAAACAATGCATGTTGCATTTGCCTGGATAACAATTCATACCTCAAATAACATCTTGGAGAAGGTAGGTACGTAACTGTTCTGCAGGAAACAACAGTTTCATTGGAAAAGCCACGGTGGTACTCACTGAAATAACAGCCCCACCACAGCCCTGAGCACCGAGGGTGGTCGTGCATGAAGTGTTTGTGAAAGATGACTGCAGCAGCTGTCCGACAGACGACACACTACGCTTAATCTTCCTTTAAAAATAACGTAATGAATTTGTTTACTTTTCTGCAAGCCATGAAGCTTTCAAATAAAGTGCCCGTGGCACATCATTAGAGCTGCTCTGATAAAGAGGCCTCCGCTGCCTTGGACTTACAGTAACTGCTATCTCTGTACCTTCCCCTCCCCCACACATTCCTCACATTATCAAAAAGCTTTTTATCCCTCTCCCGACTGCTCCATTAAAAACAAAACAAGTTGTTCCCTCTCCATAAGTGGGTCCCAACATAAATACCAGGCCCTCACAACGCTTGTTTCCAGCCTAACAATTTGGGCACTGTTGGCCATCTGAAACATGAGCATTGTTCTCCCTTTGGGGCTGGAACCTTTCCAGGGCTGAACGAGTGAGGATTTACGGCTTAAGGTACCCTTCCCATAGCACATACCATCATTTGGTCCAACCAAAATGGGACTCGTGAGCTCCTGTTGGGAGTTCCCAGCACGCGTCCTGCAGTTTGCTCAGACGTCTCTTGTTGCAGATACACTCTGATCCGTGATTAGCACTGCGTACCACAGTCTGTCCTTGACTGGTTTTTAATGTGAAAACCTCAAGTCTCAGTTGGTTCATTAAATGTACGCGTTTGGGAGCACATTCTCCATTGAAGTTAGTTTTACCATAATTATAAAAGCAATCATAAAACGAACACAACACAGCACAACAGAAACCAATCTTCCCCAGAATGTGGGACTCAAAAGAAAGCAAACCCAAAGCTTGCCAGGAAATAGAAAGCCTTGCTGCTTTTCCTTCAACTTAAACGCCCTCTGCTATGGAACTCTACTGATGCATCTCTCCTTCAAGTCAGAAGCATTATGTTTTCATCTTGCTTTCCCTGTCCCATTAGTGCAACTGCTGAAAGATGCATCCAAAGTTTGTGAGCCATTCAGATTCCAACTCTTAGCAATAGCTCATTATTTAAATTAAAAGCAACACGAAGAAAAACTAACAGCAACCCAAACGCTAAACCCAAAAACCAACAGGGGACTCCATTGTGCCGAGGCCATAAATATCCCACGTTGTCTCCTTCTATATTTATAACGTGACACCGCAATTTGTAGCGCTGCAATTTATCCTCACTGCACCATTGTAAAGGCCCTGTCTGAGCGTGCCATACACTTGTTTATTGACGTGATAAATTTAAAACACGTGCGTACGAAAAACCACAACGCTTGCTTATGTGCAAAGCCTGCAGAGAGCTCCCGCAGCACCTTGGGCCGTGGGCTCATTAGGTCTCCATCTCCACGAGGTCAGGCCAGGTCAGCACACTTGAATGAGTGGCACTGAGAGGAGAGGCAGCGCTCTGGCATGATTAAGGAGGTGGGAGCCTTCCATTGGAAGTTTTCCAGAAGGCCTGAAAAGGGGCTGTAAAAGGGGGATTGCCATTGGGTGCCATGCTTTGAAAAGGACCCTCGGATCTTTAGCTTATGTGCTCAGAAAAATCACTGTCATACTTCTGAGGGAAAGAAGATGTGAACTCAGACGTCTTCAAGCAGATTGCAAGGGTTCATGCCACACTACATCACTCTGCATGCGAAGGACTGGGACTGCCATAGAGCCTTTCATCAGTGCCAGCCTCAAAATTTCCAATTTGCATGTAGGCTTTATAATACAGAATAAATAAATAATTGGAGACATCTGACTCAAAAACTCCACAGGCCTCAGCTGTGGCAGTTTTAGAGATCAGTTAACACTTTCCATTGTTATTTGTTATCTGGAAATATCGCATATATTTTAAATATTTACAGGTTGACTTTAGCAATGAGTTTACCTCTCATAAAGGGGGAACCACTTCAAACTGAAGTGAGCAAGGGATGTAGCAGTGTCACACAGAGGGTGGTGAGGCACTGGCACAGGTTGCCCCAGGAGGCTGTGGATGCCCCATCCCTGGAGGCATTCAAGGTCAGGCTGGATGTGGCTCTGGGCAGCCTGGGCTGCTGGTGACTTGCACACAGCAAAGAGGTTGAAATCTTTGAGGTCCTTTTCAACTCAAGCCATTCTATGATTCGATGATTGATTAAGCAGTCTTGCTAAGCAGTTCCGAACCGAGAACACCAACCCTTACAGTGAGAGTGGAACTCTGGAAAAGCAGAGGTGATAGAAGAGGAAACCTGGCAGAGGCGACAGGAAGAGGGCTGGAGAAAGGAAGGAAACTGAAGTGACTGTTAGCACCAATGAGCCCAGTTCCTCCAAAAGTCAGAGAGCTGCTATCTCCTTCTGCCAGCACAGCAGCAAAGCAAGCAACATCAGAAATTCGGGGGAATCAATTTTAGCATGCCTGACAGTGACAAACAAGGCTTATAAAGAAGGCTTCACGTTTGTGAACTCCAAAGAGAAAGAAGGTGGAGTGGGGATACAGCTCGCTGCACAGTAGCAGCACTGTGTCGCTCTGTTTGCTCATTAAGCCGATGTTATTTCATAACCTTTAATATAGAGCAATGTCAAAGGGGCTTTGTTTGCTGCCCAGGACGACTGGCCCCTCACACAACAGGCTCTGCCTACCTCCTGCCCCATGTGTGCCCTGCCTATCATCCCAGCACACAAAACGTTTCTGCCATACACAACGCACACGGCCATTCCCCAGCTCCACTGCAAAAAGCAGAATCTATAACCACAGATCAAAACCTGCAAAGAAGAAAAGCTGGCAAATCCTTCGATGCAAGGTTCGTAAAAGAAAGGCTGACAAATGATTTACTCTTTGAGGCTTGCCAAAGAGCCACACTGCAACCGCAGCTATAGAACTGACACTAAATAGTTCACAGTCACAGTGGATTTAAATAACTATGTTCTATCATTTAGCACCTTGTGAAAATAAAGGGCATACAACATTTCACTGCCACGCAGAAAGCAAGCTTTGATTCAAAGTAAATGGCTGTGGAAATACATTTCCTTATATCTCCTCTGTGGACTTACAGAGGGAGATTTTTTTTAATTACATATCGTACAAAGAAATAATTAACATTTTTCATGAAAGCCAGCTGTTGTTGACATCTCAGCTCTTGGCAACAGAAACGCTGGGAATACATTACATTGAGTTGATTTGGAAAGGTTTGTATGGACACAACCCAGGCAGAAAAGCCTCAAACAAGTTCTGCAGGAAGCCAGACTTAAATAAGAACAAGCTTTTTATCTTCCTGATCCAGGAAAGGGTTTTTTTAGCAGTTGTGTCAATGTAAAGAGCAAAACAAACATGTCCTTACATACACAGGCACGGCAATCGGGGGCACTGGAATTTGCAGCTGTCATTTGCAATGGGTGCACCTTGAGATCAGACAATGAGCAGCGATGTGATCTTTACGTGTTGCACAGACCTACACCCCATTCTAAAGAGCACATCAAGTGTAATCATTAGGAACTGCTGAATAAGAAGAAATCCAGCTATTTACTAACTTGAATGAAAGCATTTACAGGCATGCAGAGCAATAAGCCTTACAAAAGGAGCTTGTTGCGTTCCACTTTATAGATTGTTTGCTCCTATAAAGTACATACTGTAACAGATGAAGCTCGAAAGCATAAATTAGGACCATATTCTATTTCTCATTTTTCTCCACCAGTATCAGAGTCCTAACTGCAACACAAATATTTAAGACAACGGCACGACTGCAGCTCAGGGAATGCAGTTCTGCTTCATTTGCAACTCCAGCACTGCCAGGAATGTTTGAATATTTGCAGAAGGATTTTGCTTACTAAGGCTAAGAACCCTTAATTAAACCACATTCACCAATCGGGGCAAGAGAGAAATGAGAAAAAGGGGAAAACAAAAAAGGAACCCTCGGGAAGCATTTGTATCCACATCCCCGCGGCTCAACTGCAGCCCCCAAAGCCAGCAGTGCACGGAGGGATTTTCACAAGCAGATGAGGCTGTCTCAGCAGCCAGGCTGCTATCACACCATCGTCCCCCCGGGTGCTGACGGCCCCTCCCGGCTCTATCTGGCTGTGGACTCAGCGAAGGTAGAGGCAGAGAAGCTGTTTTGAAATCAGTGCTGGAGGGGGGGGGGAACATCAACAAAAAAAAACACACAACCAAAAAAACCCAACAAACCACGAGCTCCATCTCCTCCAATGAAAGAGGTACCACAGGGTGTAGGCAGGTTGCCAGGCGCGCTCGGCAGCGTGACCGCACTGCATTGAGTTTCTTTAATGAAAGCCAGGAAAGAACACATTACACAGTGTTTCTTCTGCGAGCTCGCTAGCCTCCAGTGATTGAAATCAATAAAAACAGTCGGCAAGGGGCCCAGTGGGGGAAGAGAGAAACCTCCACTACGGCATTCAGTTTGCTTTGCACTTTCTCCCTCCCCCCTGAAGTTAAACTCGGATCACCATGACGAGCTGCTCGGCTCCCAGCGCTCGCACCGGGCTTTGAGGGCAGGGAGCGCCTCGGCTCCTGCTGCCCTGCTCACAGAACCACGGCGTTGTGTTCAGATCGAATCCCTCCTGGAGAAGTTCACCGGACAAGTGCACTGCCCCGCACCCAGAAGGGGAAAGCTCTGCAGGAGGATGGTAGGGGAGCACGGGGAAGAAGGAGCCATCTGAGCCAGCGGGAGCCCGCGTCCTGGTGAGGATGCCGAGCCAGGGGACCTGCGGATCTGCTGGCAGCCAGCAGCCCAGCTCACAGCGACCTGCACCGTAGGGCAGCCCAGCGCTCAGCAGCACATCAGCGCAGAGCCAGGTAAGCAGGAGCCACGTTTAACCCTTCTCCGCTTTGCGCCCGGTATCGGACCGGGATCTCCGCACCTCGCGTCCCTCCTGGTCCCCTCCCAGGTGTGCCGGCGCTAAACTCGTCCTGCCGGAAAGTTGCGTGGGGCCGCTGATCCTCGCTGAGCTACAAAACGCGCACAAAAGCCCTTTGTTTGCTAGTTTTGGGTCGGATTTGCTCGCTGACAAGGTGGTGCGGGGCCATTGCGTAACCCCCGCGCTGGAGCACAGCCCTGGGCTGCTCGCAGCGATGGGACGCAGCCGCGCTGAGGCTGCCAGTAATGAATTTCTAATGGGGTCCATACTTATCTTTGTTATTTATGTATTTTAATCGCCATAGCAGCCACACACTCCATACTTGCACCGAGCTCAATGTGCTGGTTTGTACCATGAAATACAACAACTTGCATGCACGTGGGTTTCTTGGGTTATTATATTGACAAAGAGTTGTAACCATCCTTTAATACAGCCAAAGGGGCTTTGGGGCACACTGTCCAGGAACGATCAACATAGGTTTACTCAACACTTGTTTATCCTACCACGAATTCAGTGCATGCTGTTTTCCTATAGACTAGCCCTATAAAAATGGGAAAGATGCAGATCGTGACTGTGGACCCCCCAGTCCTTCACAAGTTTTTGGTCAGCTTTCAATAACATAATCTACCTAGATACTGGCCAGGCATGGAGGGTGACATCAAAGCTTGCCTTTTGCTGGGTCCGCAAAAATGATGGTGGCTCCAGCTCTTTCCCAGTGATGGCAGGAACTCAGTGGGATGGCCGAGCAGCTGGAACCTGCAGAGCCTCCATCCCATGAAGGCAGGCACAAGGTCTGACAGCCCTCCCCATGCCTCCCACTGCAGTGCCCCAAGGCAGGGCGTAAGGCCGGAGCTCAGCAAGTGCATCTGTATGGGGGCAGGTGCAGCTCTGCTTCTTCCCTGCAAAACAGCCTTTCAGGGGTGCCTGGATTTTACATGGAAATGTAAATGAGAGCCATGCTTTAAAGTGATGTAGAGAACATCTACGTGACTAGGACTTGTTTCTGTACAGAGGTTTGCTGAAACTTCTTAAAGCACTAACGTTGAGGAAGCAATCCTTAAACACCAAGAAGCTCTGCAACTGATTTTATCAGTCCACTTTTGTACTCTTTGTGAAAAACAGTCAAAAAATTACAGATCTAAGAAAATCAAGAACAAAAAAAAACCCAAAGTAGCGATTCGGAAGAGAAAATGGTCCCTTCTGACTTTTGGGGCATACCCACAGGCCCACCATTCGCTGTACTGTCACAGCGTTTAGAATCCAATCAGTGATCTGTCTGTCCCTGCAGAGCCCTTGCAGAAATCCCAGCACCCGTTGAAGGCTTCAGAGCAATCACATCCCCCCCAACCTGCAGGACTGCTTTCCATCGCTCTCAGGGCTAAATTTATCCTTATGCAGTGGAAGCCACTGAAGTCTTTTCTTAAAATCTCAAAAAAGAAAAGCTTGGGTGGGACAGACAATGCACATCATTCAAGTTCTAATGATATTCCTCCCCATCAGTCGCCCAGCAGAATACATACACATCATCTTTACAGCAGAGCGCAGGGGAATTTGTTGATAGCTGTATGTTTCAGAAGCAAAGTGGTCTGAGATTCCCTCATGCTGTTAACAGAACGTGTTCTTTTCAAGCACACAACAGAGAAAAAAAGCAGCATGCATTCTCTTAGAAGCAGCTTGAAGCAAACACAGGTACTGTAGCTGCCATACCACAGAGCAAGATTTGTCCCCATTTTTCAGTTGTCCAGTGGTATTTAAGCAGATTCACTGAGCAGTGACCCAGTCTTTGAAACCCTTCCTTTACACTATGGAGATTGGGAAGAACCCCGTGTTGCTTCTTGAGCTGGATACAACAAAATAGGACCAGTGGGTCTTTCCCACATTTCTACTAGAATCAGAGCTAGCATTGATAACCTCTTATCATGAGAAGTACTTCACCCTCAGCTGTCTTCAATATGGTCAAGAGATGCTAATAACACATGACAGTTATCCATACAACAAAACACACTGGTAAAAGAGCTTTTTGAAAGCAGCATATAAGATTATGCAATCATCACCAAAGTAGGTGAAATACTTTCATAGGCACAAGGACAAACGCTTCATTTTTATCTCTCCTCTCTACATCTTAATGAAAGGAAAGGTCTGGAATTCTACAAAATGATTTGAATGACTCTTCCACAGAGGCTGAAATTCAACAATGATGACAGCAACAAAGTGTAACTCTTGGGATGTGCTGGGCTCCAGGGTAAGCAGTCCTGGGCGAAACATAATACTTGTGTCTGCACTGGGAAAAAGAGAGTTTCCATCCCTTTTGAACCAGCATGATCTGATACCTCTTGAATACTGTAAAGCTTTGAGATATCTCCTTTCTTAATTACACCAGTGGATCGTGTTGACAGTGCTGGAGTCATTCAGTCGAGTATATTTAGTCTGCTCCATTTCAAGTGACAGCTTCCCTGTGATGTACCCATCCTGACAAAAAAAATGCAACGTAACTAAATATACAGTTGAAAAGGTGCATTTCCTCCCTAATCTACAGGAAAGACTAGTGAAACTGAAGATTAATTCTTAAATGAAAAACAGATGTGTACTGATCCCTAAGGAAGGCAGTTTACCTTATAATTCCAATAGGTTTGACTAAGGAAGAAATTTTTTGTTATAGGCAAAACACCTCCATCATCAACAGCTTCACTTCCCAATTCCTGTGAAATGATTATTCCTGTAAAATATGTGTAATTTCCATGAATAGACCACCTGCGTGAACCTGTCTGAAGAAAGAAGTGCTGTAAAGCTGCACTCATACCTCCTGCACAGCTCCGTTCCCATTGAACATTCCAATCCAAGTTTGGTCTCAAAGAGAAAGGGAAAGGAAGGATGTTTCCAGGAGACAGCACACACTGCAGCACTTCGCCTTCCTCCCGGCCTGCCTGCTGCCTCCCACCCACAATCACACCCTGGTTTGCTCACCTAGCTCCATCACCTGCCCTTGATGCAGCCCAGGATACAACCGGCCCCCTGGGCTGTGAGCACACCTTGCTGGCTCACATCAAGTCCTTCATCAGCTGAGCTGTTCTGGCTGACCAAACACAGCTGGTATGAAGAAAGAACCAGAACGCATGACTTGCCAGCTTGCCGTGGTCTCCTCAGAGTTCCTTAAAGAAAACTCCATCCCCAGCTTCCTTGTTCTTAACGTCTCTGACATTAAAGTGCAATCTCTTCCTGAATTCCATTTAGCAACATTGCCCTTAATTCTGTTGTGAGTTTTTATAGCATCATGTGTGCATTCATTATGGAGAAGGAGCAGAAAATTGAAAAACAATTATAATTTAAGACCCTACATTAAAACCCGCTGACTGTTTAGTAGAAAAACTCCACAAAAGCTGTTTGTGTTTCCACACTCCATACTAAAGAGTGAATGCAGCACAAAATAAGTTGTGGTTGTTTTGAAATTAAGACAGCTAGCAAGTTACCCTACAATAACATTTGATTCATCTACATTTCAGTAACAACCAACTTACACATACTTATAAGGGTAACGCTATGACTTATGTGAACTGAATTTATAGCTCACTTTGGTTTTACACTGCTGTAATTCCCTATTGAAAATTAAGCTGAATATCAAGATGTTCCCTAAAATGCATTAATAAAATTGCAATTGCTAAATTGAAAGAAAATCTGCTTAGGCAAAGAGGTACTGCCTTCTTTCCTTCTGTTTTTTAAGCCATCTTTAGAGATCAGTATTTTCCCTTGGAATACTGGGAGCAAAAACCATACTGGAAGTTTGCAAGGTAGCACTGGTAGTATTGGCTTCCTCTCAATGAACCGTGACAAAAATATTTCACTCCTTACATCTTTACAAATCCCCTGCATGAACTCTGCATTTACTTACAGCTTCCACAAAATCTGCCACTGACTTCTGCTAACTGACTCACAAAATTCCAGGCCATTCTGGGATTGCCGACCTCCCTTCCACCCTACACGAGCATGATGTGCAAATCCATGGTTGGTTCCAGCTTTCAAGTTACGAACAGCACCACGATTCATGCTTTTCCTGCCTTGGAAAGTGTTTACAGCACCATTCCATTTTTCTGTACCTATGCACTCAGATCTTACTATAATTAGCTTTGGGATACAACTGGAAACAAAAGATAATATTCTGATTCATCAAATGCTGCCATGGCAGGAAGCATGGTTCATGTTGGCAGTTTTAAGGCAAACTCCACAACTTGCCCAAAGTAACAAATACAGAGCAGAGGTGGAACTCCTCACCTTCAAGTTTCCTAACTTTCAGGCATACGTCCAGCCAGAAAAATGTATTACAGAATGACATTCTCTCCTTCTATACAGTGCATCTTTAGACAAAAAAATCAAACATTCCCAAACTATTTTGCTTGGTATACCTTTTTGCAAGCCAGCTCTGCTGCAGGTTACTGCAGCTGCCCCAGCTGGCTGCGCTCACACAGCCCCAGTGCACCTCCACCCAGCAAACCCTGCAGCAGAGAAAGCCTGAAGAACAGCACGAAGCCGCTCAGGCAACACTCTTCTACATCTGCAATGGAATTTTGTAATTACTCTGAAGGTTCCTCCTGCTCCAAAGGAGGCCACGGGGCTGCAGGGATGGCCGCGTTCTATCCAAAGCGGCACGGCGCTACAAACTGGAGAACACAAACGTCACACAAAATGAAGAGAAAAATATGAACTGTGTACATGAGGCCCTCACTGACAGAACATATAGAATGCTCCTCAGCTGACAGCTTTATAACTCTAACTGGTTCTGCAAATGAAATCCAAACAAAAGAGCGGAGATGTTCTCTAAATCACTCAGCAATTGCTGTTTAGCAAAACCAGCAACCACGAACTCCAGCAAACAAAAAGAGGTACTTTAAGTGACCTTAATGAATGAGAAAAAAATGTCAGGATTCTTTCTTTCAGCTCTATTTT